CTCAACCTCCGGGAGGTCCACAAAAGGTGCATCCAGCCGTTCCCTGGATTTGTTTGGGGAGGATGCGACAACGGTTGGCCCCTCCGCCGCCAGAAGGCCCAGAAAGGGGGCCCCAGTTTGAGTGTTCCAAGTTCGTGGGTAAACAATGCCATGGATCCGATCCCCCGCCAATTGTTTTTTGCGGGTGCCGTCCATTTGACCCGAACGCTGCTTGGCGGCTTCCCTAGCAAACACCATCTTGCTAAACATGGAACATCCAAACAGATTGCTTTGTCGGAATAGCCTCATATATTCAGGAGAGATGGTAGCTGGGCTGCCATCTCTTCCTCCATTTCAGAGTTTGGGGGCGTGTGCACAGAGGATTGGTCTGACACATGTGTCCCTCACTTGTCGTTTGGGGATAGGCGCCTTGATGTTTTGCTCACACAGATCGGACCGGACAGTGTTGGAGCATGTTGACGCCATTGATATCTTGAAGTGCACTGATCCTGGAATCCGTACTGCGTTTAAAATGGAGGTGCACGCTAATCTTGTCCGTGATTCCATCGAGCCAAGGGACCTCTGAACTCCTTTCACTGCAAAGGAAGCGGGAGGGTCCCAAAAAAAACTTAAACCCTTACCTTGTCCGGGTTCCCAAAAAGGATTTTCTGGCCACCCTTGACTCTCCTCTCTTGCCCAACGCCAGAGCCTTTACACTTTTCCACTTCCCTGTTTTAGACAGGGGTCACAGGAACATCGCCTTCAACGCCAAGAAGCAGACAACAGGTGGTGCTGATGAGTTTTTTTTTTTTAAGCAAACCCCGAAGGTCTCTAAAATCGGACATCCCCTTTGTGGCTGGTGTTGACGGGAAGCAAAGGTGTGCCGACAGAAAAGATACAGGAGGTTGGTTGCGCACGACTATCTGGACACATGGGTTTGCAAGGGGCACTACCCCCCGCCCCCCGGCCATCCGCCCCCGCAATGGGTAGCTTCCGCGTGGTTTGGGCACCCGAAAAAAACCGCAAAGCCACGGCCTGGCCGCGCAAAAAAGCGGCCGACCGCCCCGAGAGGTTGAGGCTCGGCAACTGGAGCGCCACAGGCCTGCCAAGCTCAACCGCGCGAGGGTCACATGAGCAAAACGGGGATGCCTGTGTTTGTCCAAGTAGCGGGACCTGTTTTTTTCTAGTTCGGAAAGAGGAAGACTACTTTCTAGCCAGAAAAGGGGATGAGTTGGATGCCGGTGTCTTAGTTTGAAAAGGTGTTTTTTAGTTATTGAAAGGGGTTGTCTGTCATTTGAACGACCTTCACGTGGGCTCGGTGCCTTTCACATCTCTAGATGCATTTCCGTTTGCCGCAATGTTCCGATTTGGCCGTGCCTTGTCTGAGTTGATGTGTGAGGGAACCAAGGCTGATGAACATTTGCAGGAAAGGTGAAGCCCAGAGTCTTGCTTTCAACACTGCATGCTTGCGCACAGGCCTGCCTCGGACAATGCACGCAGGCATAGACCATATGTTTGTACACACACACATATACGTACACACATATGCAGATACACATACATACATATACACACATAACACGCGCGGAAACACATACACAGCATAAACACGCGCGGCCACCAACACCACACCCACACACAACACACACACAACACACACACAATCCACCCCACACAACACACATACACACAAACACACACACACACAACACACACAACCACCCACAAGCAACATCACACACAAGACTTACGCAACAGACGACACACACACGACATCACACACACAGCACACACACTACACACGCAACTACACACACAAACACACCACCACACACACACACTACCAACACACACACACACACACCACACACAACACACACACGACACACATCAGACACCCATCACACATTGACCCACCAACACATCACCACACACACACCTCACAAGATCACGCATCAACACACACACACACAAAGACACACACACACAAAGACACACACACAAAGACACACACACACACAAACACACACACACACAAAGACACACACACACACACACACACATCCACACACACACACACGAGCGCGCACACACACACAACCCACACACACACACACCAAACACACACACACACACACACACACACACACACACACACACACACACACACACACACACACACACACACACACACACACACACACACACACACACACACACACACACACACACACACACACACACACACACACACTCACACACACACCCACACACACACACACACACACACACACACACACACACACACACACACACACACACACACACACACACAACTCCCACACACACACACACAACTCCCACACACACAGACACACACAGACGCACACACACACACACACACACACACACACACACACACACACACACACACACACACACACACACACACACACACACCACACCACACCACACCACACCACACCACACCACACACACACAACACACACACACACACACACACACACACACACACACACACACACACACACCACACCACACCACACCACACCACACCACACCACACACACACAGAGAGAGATACACAAAAACACACAGAGATACACAAAAACACATACACACAGAGAGATACACAAAAACACATACACACGCACCACACACACACACAGAGAGAGATACACAAAAACACATACACACACACAGAGAGATACACAAAAACACATACACACACACCACACACACACACACAGACACATACTCCCATACACATATATGTGCGTGCACATGCATGCATACTCATACTCATACTCATACCCATACACATACACACACACACATATACACACATACACATACGAAGAGGCATGCACATACATAATGTATATATGTATCTATGTATCTATGTACATATATATGTATATATATATATATGCTGTATACGATAGAAACACACGCCAATGCGCAAAACACACAGATGTGTTTTTTCTTTTTCTTTTTTCTTGTCCTTTTGGAGTCGTATCGTTTTCCACCATGCTCCAGGCTAACCAACCTTCCGGGGGCCAACCTCTCAGGGGCCAAAGTGCCGATCTCAGTGAAAGCTTGCTTCGGCAAGGACGTGGGGGACTCCCTCCATTTCTCAGAAAGGAACAGGGGTGCTGACCAGAGACCTTAAGACGTTCTCTAGAAAGCTTTCTATGACCTCTTCCAGAATAGGAGGGAGGGCTCAGTACTCCTCAGTTTGGGTTTGCCAGGAACCGGCAGAAGGAGTCTCCTGGACGCTACTTGAGAGAACAGAGCTTGAAGGGTATTCCAGGCTTTGGCATCAGCTAGCCCCAGCATTGCCCATGTTGGATGTCCAAACGCATAGTTTCCTGTGGCTCCCTTTGAATGAAGCCTAAAGCATGTATCCTCAGGACGAATATTCCGCTCTCGAGGTGAAACCCAAAGTCCGGGCTCAGGAACTGCAAGAGCAGTACAGGACCGGCTCAGCTTTGAGTGGGGAGTGAGGGGGGGGGGGGCGGCTGTGCCATGATCACGTGGCACCCATTCTGGCTTGGCTGTCCCGTTTTTCAACACTCGTGGAAGTGCCCAGGAGAGCCGCTGGTTCCCTACCAAAAGTGCCTTGACCAGAGCTTAGGGCTCAGGATCCACAGCTGGACTCTGCGTAGTGGTTCTTCCAACAGCGTGAGGCCCGTTGCCATAAGCTCTGAGGAGTCGACAAAGCTTCTTGAACATCCCCTCATTTCGTGTGAACACTGCCGGCCTCCCACACGCGACCCTGTGTCACTGCGGTAAGTTGGCGATGGTAGGAGATTGTTCTCCTTGGGTTACCTGGTTTCATGGATCATACGGCCGATGTCCGATGTACTGTACGCCTTTGTAACCATTTTGGGCCAAAAGCAAATGGCCGTGGGTCAACAGCGAATGGCTTTGGGTCAAAACCAATGGTACCATTTTCGGTAGGTGCACCACCCATTTTAGTCTATTTTAGTGGGGATTGGGATGTTCACTGGGGGTACGGGATTTTGGCCCATGGCCAAATTGGGGCAGCTTTGACTTGGTACAGTGCTGACGTGACCTTGCCAGCATGAGATTACACAGACCGCTTTTAGCTTGCAGGAGCTTGGGCGTGAACGTGCGCTGAGCCAATGGGCGACTCGCAAAGCGAAAAACGAAGCGCAAGGTTTGGGCCTTCTACATAATTATACACACATATGCGCATTAATATGAACATATATAGAATTGTGTATATAGACATGGGAATGAACCAAGTATGTTGGGATCCAGCGGAAATGATAGCCGGCAGCTACGGATTGGCCACTGCATGCTCGGCTTCCTAGCAGTGGCTGGTGTGCATGTGCCAACTTCGGCCATCAACACTTGCAAAAGCAGCCGTGTTTGTGCCCCAGCGCTGCTCGGAATCCATTCCATGTCGCACTGTATGTTTTGCACACTTCAAGGTGAGCACTGGTTCTGATCAATTACGCATTGGATCTGCAGTCCAGACATTCCTCGATGTTCAAAAGGGATGCATGTTATTACTACGTGCCATTGATGTGTTGGTTCTCATTGTCGTGTGTGCCTTTGGGGGTCCTGGCTACGACTGAGGATTCGCGTTTCTGGCAAGGCAATCAACATTACCCTGGAGGGAACTCCCTCTTTGAGTGGTTTCTACTATTTCAACGTCATTGGTCGGTTTCCACTTTAAATGGTCACTGGTGTTGTCCTGACATTCGACCAGTCTGCACAAGTAGCAGTAGTTTGTCTACTTTGGGCCTATCCGTCGCAGCTTTTTGATGTAAGCCCGCAGCCAGTTTGCTCGAGAACTGCCGATCTATCTTCCAAGATCGCAGGCACAATGCCTGCCAAACTGGCTGCTGGGCTGCAAGACTGTCCAGCGGTTTGGTCCAAAGCTTTGCGTTTGACTGTAGCAATGCAATTGTTTACGCTTACACAGGGGTTCGAGAGGGCAATCAGAGCGCAGAGCGAGATGAGAGCTTATGCTTTGTCAGATCTTCACGGTCAAGTCGGAGACCCACTTCGGGCAGACCACCAAGATCATTGGCAGCGACCCAACGCCACCCTGGCAAAGGTTTTGTGAATGTCTCTTCAATGTCTACGGGTTGATTCCGTCCTGCCAGGATGGGCGGCTGGTGCGTCGATAAGGCCATGCCGCTTACAACAGACGCGCGGCAACTCAGTGCGATTGAATGCGTTTGATGGCGATATCTTGGAGTTTTGAGGCCATTTGCCCTTACTAACAGGCATGGGATATTCTGGGAGGTGTCAGCTTGGTTGCTCGCTTCCTGTCTTGCCTTTGCCTTTGTCCACTAGGCTTCAACATACCCACTGTGGGTGGGTGAAGCGGAGCTGGACATCACGGAGGCGGGGGAAAACATACGTGGAAGGCTGCCGCACGTCGCTGAACTTGGCATGGTATTGAAGCCAAATAGTCGAATATACATCTTTGTAGGCATTGAGAAGTGCAGCACAGTTGAGCAGTGCCGCTGAAACGCCAGGGACAATCGCTCGAGCCTTGCCTGCATTTCAGGCCAAACGCACCGCGCCTGGCTGACAGTTGAAACTTGCTCTCCGCGCTGTTCACACCCCCCCCTCTCCCCAGGCGTCAGAACACCAGGCACGGTGCAACGTTGATCAGTCGCCCGTCATGAGAACGACAGCTTGCGAGACCAACACTGCAGCCGAGGAGTACAAGTTTGTGAAGGTTCAGCCCGACGGCAATGTGGTGTGGGAGCCAGGCCTCTGGGTGGCACATATTGACTGCTGACTCGATGGTTTCTGAAGGGGATGCCTTCAATATCAAACATTTGCTGTGATCCAGGCTGATGCAGCTGACTCTCTTGCATCAGATCTGTAAAACAGTTGTTGCTGTTTGCTCCTGGATGCTTCTGGTGACTCGCCTTGTCCTTGAAATACAGTTCAACCCCTGACCATGAACAAGTGCATGTATCACATATAAAATATACATGTGAAATGGATTAAAAAATGAGAGATCACGTGTCCCATGGGCTTCAAGTTCCCTGCGAGGGAACAACCGTCTCCTGCGCTTCGACAATGGCGAGATGTTCAGCGCCGTGGGGCCGGTGGGGCGCGGAGCCCCGGAGCCCGCGAGCCCGCGAGCCCGCGCGCGGAGAGGGGCCAGGGGGAGGACCTGACCGGCGCAGGTTTTTGTGGTACCCGGGACGCTTGTTGGGAAGAATAGAAATTTGTGTTGGGACGCCCTGTTTAGTAGCATATCAAAGGAGGATCATTTTTTTTCCGGTGAAGGGGCTGAAACCAATGGCAAAAAACACCCATGTCATTTCAAGAGCAGGTGACTGGAAGCATTGTTTGGTTTCTGAGGGCCGGAGCTTGGAGCGCCGGGCGCAAATGGATGGCTCCCTTCGACCTAGGAATCGATTGCCGGAGAAAGCACGCGGAACTGATCAAGTTTACCTGGCAAGTTCCATCACTGTCAACCCCTTCCAACCGAAATGACAAGAGCGAGCCAACTTACAAACGGGGTGGAAGAGCAGCAGGCAATGGAAGTTAGCTTTCGGGAGAAAGAGACGACAAAACAAGTATCATGAGATTACGATGTGAAACGGCTGGCACGATGGATGGGACGGGCAAGCAGCTGCTCAACACAAAATAGTAGTAATTTCGACTGAGCCAGAATCAAAACAAAGCTTAGGTAGATAGTGAAGGTTTCCACAAATAGGTGCTACCGTCATCCTATATCCTTACACATTTTGAGTAGCTACCACTTTAGTGCCAGGTTTTGACTATGACTTGAGACACGAAGCAAGTGGGTGCTGGGATTGTTGCCACGTCCTTCGATGGAGATCAACGAACGAGCGGGTCGACCACTCGTGCTTGGGCTGAAGGAGTCACCTGGTGACACACACTTGGGATTCAGTTACAGGTCGCCGTTGTACGAGCAGAGTTTCACGCCCGAAAGATGTGTTGGGGGACTTCCCCAAGTAGTTTCAGGAGCTTTCCCAGCTCTTTCTGTCGCAATCGGCACCAGGCAGCGCGAGTCGGTTTTCGGCGTGATGGATGGATCAGGCCCAAGGCTCGGGGTCATCTCCGGAGGCAGTTGAGCACAAAGGGCTGTGCAACAAATGTGCAATTGGGCGAAGAACGAGCTCTGCTGTATTTCGGTTGTGAATTATGATGTGCCCAGAACAAGCCCCTTCCTTTGAAGGGAAGCCCACAGGAGCTTGTTTCAGCCTACAAACAAGGGCTTGGCCGAACCCTAGTTGATACTTCTGTTGATACTTCTTTCTGCGTTTCGGGAAGACTTCAATTATGACTCAATAATCATTTGAGAGTTTTCTTGGAGCAAGCCTCCCAAATGCTGGTTGGGGAAGTCACCGGGACCCGGAAGTATTTAAGCTTGCCTGTGCAGGCTTGCAAGCGGGAGGAGCGCACCGGAGGCGCAGGCAGGGATCAAGCCCGGTCTGTTGGGACATCTTGGTCTCGAAGCCCATGACAGCTCTAGGATGACAGCCATAGGTATTCATGGTGTCCTTTTTGGGTTAGTTTGATTAAGAATAGATGGCACTGGTTTAGGTGGGGCTTCTTCCATTTACCATCCATTTTTCCAAAAGGCCACCTATGATGACATCCCCACTTGGTGGTTTATCCCCAGACGATTGCCCGCTGGAATTTCCCAAAGATATAGCCCCATGCCCCAGGCTGGCCTGTGATTCAAGCGAGGCCCAACATGATGCAAGCTCGCAGCGCGACGGCAACGGCGGATTCCGAAGCCCGAAGCTTCTCAAGGGCTTCTCAAGGAACTCTAGTCGTTACACCCTGAAAATGGTTGATGATGGACAGAACTCTTCATGTAAATGATGCCCAAGGACTCTCAGGAAAAGAATCACGCCCCTTGCGCCGAGGCTTCGCCGAAGGCTTCGACGCCCAAGGCTTCGACGCCCAGGGCCGCCAGCCCCAAGGCCGCAACTCCCAAGGCCTCCACGCCCAAGGCGGCTTCCACGCCCAAGGCGGCCTCCACGCCCAAGGCGGCCACGCCCAAGGCCTCGAAGCCCGACCCAAGGGCTGCCCTGGCAGCAGTGCCCGCACCTCCGGCGGCAGTGCCCGCACCTCCGGCGACGAACAGCCACAACCTCAGGATGAGCGCGAAGGAGCCCAATTCTTGGTGAACTTTGCGGGGTCCCCTGGTCAACCCAAAAGAACAACGGCCCTTTTTTCTACTGAATGGGTGGCTGAGTAACTGGGGGCCTTCTTCTCTCATTCATCGGTTGATACCAAGGGCTCAAGGCTTCGGGGCAGGTGCCGTTTCCGGTGACCCGTCAGGTCCGACGGTAACGAGCCCGGCGGCGGACCTCCACTTCAACGTGGCCGGAGCATTCAGATGCAACTGGCAGCCTCAAGTTTGAGATAGGCGTGTGTGTGTTTGTTTGTTTTGTTGAGGCTTTCAGATTAATGAGCTGTTGTATTTGTTGCTGTCCCCCAAATGAATGGGATTTCAATAACTATTCATGTACTTGTCAAAGGGTGTCCATGTATCAAAGAGGTGCCCTTGTTCGTGTCGAACAATTTGTCATTCAAACAATCGACAGGTTGCCTGAAGCATAAGTGTGGCCATTTTGTCCAGGTGTTTTCAACCCAACGGGCTCCTTCCAGCAAAATCTTGACACGTTGCCAGGTCGTTCAAATACTGAGCGGAAAGCATGTTTTGAAACACATCCTTCATCCAATTAGGAAGGAAATTGGGGGCCGCACGGCAGCTTATTGGCCAAAAGAAAGGGCTGCATACAATATCTCAGTGAGCTGATGCAAAGTCTGTGTCATTTCTTGGTTTCTGTACATTGCTCTGCCACACCATGGAGCAACTTGATTCTGCTGTCCATGATGTCATTCCTGATTCCTGTGCAACGTCGGATTGACGAGCACATGAAAAGCGCGGCTCGCTGGCCCGAATTCCCGCCTCAAGGTCTGCTCTAACACGGGCTTGGGAGAGCACGTCACTGTCGTGGGATCTGTCCCGGAGTTACCTGGATGCAGCAAGGGCGTCAGGATGACAAGTCGACGGATCCTGAAGCGAGTTTGCTGTGTGCGTGCAGCAGTGTGTAGGGAGCATGTTCGTGGGTTTGCGTGGGTGCGGGCTGGCGTTGTTTATATGAGTATGCGTATGCGTGTGGGCATGTGTGCATGTGTGCGTGTGTGTGTGTGTGTGTGTGTGTGTTGTGTTGCGTGTTTATTTGTCTGTGTGCGCAAGTATTTGGACATTCTTTTTCATGCCCTGATGTTGTAGTCGGAATATGTAAGTAGCATATTTGCTTGCCACATTCAGAGTGAGTGAGTGAGTGATTGAGCGAGTGCGTGCGTGCGTGAGAGCGAGAGTGAGAGTGAGAGTGAGAGTGAGAGTGAGAGTGAGAGTGAGTGAGTGAGTGAGTGAGTGAGTGAGTGAGTGAGTGAGTGTGTGAGTGAGTGAGTGAGTGAGTGAGTGAGTGAGTGAGTGAGTGAGTGGGTGGGTGGGTGGGTGGGTGAGTGAGTGAGTGAGTGAGTGAGTGAGTGAGTGAGTGAGTGAGTGAGTGAGTGAGTGAGTGAGTGAGTGAGTGAGTGAGTGAGTGAGTGAGTGAGTGCGAGTGAGTGAGTGAGTGAGTGAGTGAGTGAGTGAGTGAGTGAGTGAGTGAGTGAGTGAGTGAGTGAGTGAGTGAGTGAGTGAGTGAGTGAGTGAGTGAGTGAGTGAGTGAGTGAGTGAGTGAGTGAGTGAGTCAGTGAGTCAGTGAGTGAGTGAGTGAGTGAGTGAGTGAGTGAGTGAGTGAGTGAGTGAGTGAGTGAGTGAGTGAGTGAGTGAGTGAGTGAGTGAGTGAGTGAGTGAGTGAGTGAGTGAGTGAGTGAGAGAGTGAGAGAGTGAGTGAGTGAGTGAGTGAGTGAGTGAGTGAGTGAGTGAGTGAGTGAGTGAGTGAGTGAGTGAGTGAGTGAGTGAGGGAGTGAGTGAGTGAGTGAGTGAGTGAGTGAGTGAGTGAGTGAGTGAGTGAGTGAGTGAGTGAGTGAGTGAGTGAGTGAGAGTGAGAGTGAGAGTGAGTTTGAGTGTGAGTGTGAGTGTGAGTGTGAGTGTGAGTGTGAGAGTGAGAGTGAGTGCGTGTGCGTGTGCGTGTGCGAGTGCGAGTGCGAGTGCGAGTGCGAGTGCGAGTGCGAGTGCGAGTGCGAGTGCGAGTGCGAGTGCGAGTGCGAGTCCGAGTCCGAGTCCGAGTGCGAGTGCGAGTGCGAGTGTGAGTGTGAGTGAGTGTGAGGGAGTGAGCGTGAGGGAGTGAGCGTGAGGGAGTGAGTGAGGTGAGCGAGCGCGTGAGTGAGTGAGTGAGTGAGTGAGTGAGTGAGTGAGTGAGTGAGTGAGTGAGTGAGTGAGTGAGTGAGTGGGTGGGTGGGTGGGTGGGTGGGTGGGTGGGTGAGTGGGTGAGTGGGTGAGTGAAGTGGAGTGGAGTGGAGTGGAGTGGAGTGGAGTGGAGTGGAGTGGAGTGGAGTGAAGTGAAGTGAAGTGAAGTGAAGTGAAGTGAAGTGAGGTGAGGTGAGTGAAGTGAGGTGAGTGAAGTGAAGTGAAGTGAAGTGAAGTGCAGTGAAGTGCGTGAGGTGAGGTGAGCTGAGCTGAGCTGAGCTGAGCTGAGCTGAGCTGAGCTGAGCGTGAGCGAGCGAGCGAGCGAGCGAGCGAGTGAGTGAGTGAGTGAGTGAGTGAGTGAGTGAGTGAGTGAGAGAGTGAGAGAGCGTGAGTGAGTGAGTGAGTGAGTGAGTGAGTGAGTGAGTGAGTGAGTGAGTGAGTGAGTGAGTGAGTGAGTGAGTGAGTGAGTGAGAGAGTGAGAGAGTGAGAGAGTGAAAGAGTGAGAGAGTGAGAGAGTGAGAGAGTGAGAGTGAGTGAGAGAGTGAGTGAGTCAGTGAGTGAGTGAGTGAGTGAGTGAGCGAGGGAGCGAGTGAGTGAGTCAGTGAGTGAGTGAGAGAGTGAGTGAGTGAGTGAGTGAGTGAGTGAGTGAGTGAGTGAGTGAGTGAGTGAGTGAGTGAGTGAGTGAGTGAGTGAGTGAGTGAGTGAGTGAGTGAGTGAGTGAGTAGTGAGTGAGTGAGTGAGTGAGTGAGTGAGTGAGTGAGGGAGCGAGTGAGTGAGTGAGTGAGTGAGTGAGTGAGTGTGACTGTGAGAGTTAGAGTCCGAGGGAGAGTGAGTGCTGTGCGTGTGCGTGTGCAGTGCGAGATGCGAGTGCCGAGTTGTCGAGTACGATGCGATGCAGTGCGAGTGGAGTGCGATGCGAGTGCGAGTCCGAGTCCGAGTCCGAGTGCAGTGCGAGTGCGAGGTGATGTGAGTGATGTGAGGGGGTGAGTTGTGAGGGCGAAGAGCGTGAGGATGAGTATGAAGGTAGTGAGTGAGCGAGCTGAGCGAGCGAGCGTAAAGCCAGAGCGCGGGTGAGTGATGATTAGTTATGAGTGAGTGAGTGAGTGAGTGAGTGAGTGAGTGAGTGAGTGAGTGAGTGAGTGAGTGAGTGAGTGAGTGAGTGAGTGAGTGAGTGTGTGTGTGTGAGTGTGAGTGAGTTTGTGTGAGTGTGTGTGTGAGTTTGTGTGAGAGTGTGAGTTTGTGTGAGAGTGTGAGTTTGTGTGAGAGTGTGAGTGTGTGAGAGTGTGAGGGTGTGAGAGTGTGAGTGTGAGAGTGTGAGAGTGTGAGCGTGTGAGCGTGTGACTGTGTGAGAGTGTGAGAGTGTGAGAGTGTGAGGGTATCTGTGACGAGCGAGCTAGCGTGAGTGAGTGAGTGAGTGAGTGAGTGAGTGAGTGAGTGAGTGAGTGAGTGAGTGAGTGAGTGAGTGAGTGAGTGAGTGAGTGAGTGAGTGAGAGACTGAGTGAGTGAGTGAGTGAGTGTTTGGGGTTTGGAGTGAGGGTGTGTGTGGTTGTGTGAGTGAGTCTGAGTAGTGAGTGCGTGGTGGTGGGGGGTGGGTGGGTGGTGGTGGGTGTGTGGGTGAGTGGGTGAGTGGGTGAGTGGTTGAGTGGGTGAGTGAAGTGGAGTGGAGTGGAGTGGAGTGGAGTGGAGTGGAGTGAAGTGAAGTGAAGTGAAGTGAAGTGAAGTGAAGTGAAGTGAGGTGAGTGAAGTGAAGTGAAGTGAAGTGAAGTGAAGTGAAGTGAAGTGAAGTGCAATGAAGTGCGTGAGGTGAGGTGAGGTGAGCTGAGCTGAGCTGAGCTGAGCGTGAGCGAGTGGGCGAGTGTGCGAGTGAGTGAGTGAGTGAGTGAGTGAGTGAGTGAGTGAGTGAGTGAGTGAGTGAGTGAGTGAGTGAGTGAGTGAGTGAGTGAGTGAGTGAGGGAGTGAGCGAGCGAGCGAGCGAGCGAGCGAGCGAGTGAGTGAGTGACTCAGTGAGTGATTCAGTGAGTGAGTGAGTGAGTGAGTGAGTGAGTGAGTGAGTGAGTGAGTGAGTGAGTGAGTGAGTGAGTGAGTGAGTGAGTGAGTGAGTGAGTGAGTGAGTGAGTGAGTGAGTGAGTGAGTGAGTGAGTGAGTGAGTGAGAGAGTGAGAGAGCGTGAGTGAGTGAGTCAGTGAGTCAGTCAGTCAGTGAGTGAGTCAGTGAGTGAGTCAGTGAGTCAGTGAGTCAGTGAGTGAGTCAGTGAGTCAGTGAGTGAGTCAGTGAGTGAGTCAGTGAGTCAGTGAGTCAGTGAGTCAGTGAGTTAGTGAGTCAGTGAGTCAGTGAGTCAGTGAGTCAGTGAGTGTCAGAGTCAGTGTCAGTGTCAGCGTCAGTGTGTGTGTGTGTGTGTCAGTGTCAGTGTCAGTGTCAGTGTCAGTGTCAGTGTCAGTGTCAGTGTCAGTGTCAGTGTTAGTGTCAGTGTCAGTGTCAGTGTCAGTGTCAGTGTGTGTGTGTGTGTGGGTCAGTGTCTGTTTGTCTTTGTCTTTGTCTTTGTCTTTGTCTTTGTGTGTGTGTGAGTGTGTTTGAGTGTGTTTGAGTGTGTTTGAGTGTGTTTGAGTGTGTTGGAGTGTGTTTGAGTGTGTTTGAGTGTGTTTGAGTGTGTTTGAGTGTGTTTGAGTGTGTTTGAGTGTGAGTGTGTGAGTGTGTGAGTGAGTGAGTGAGTGAGTGAGTGAGTGAGTGAGTGGGTGAGTCAGTGAGTCAGTGAGTCAGTGAGTCAGTGAGTCAGTGAGTCAGTGAGTCAGTGAGTCAGTGAGTCAGTGAGTCAGTGAGTCAGGGAGTCAGTGAGTCAGTGATCAGCGAGTCAGGAGTCATGGGGAGTCAGTGAGTCAGTGAGTCAGTGAGTCAGTGAGTCAGTGAGGCAGTGAGGCAGCGTGTCAGCGAAGTCAGTGAGATCAGTGAGTCATTGAGTCAGTGAGTTCAGTGAGTCGAGAGTCAGTGAGTCATGAGTCAGTGAGTTGTCAGTAGATCCAGGATTCCGTGTGTCAGTGAGTCGTGTAGATCAGGTGAGCTCAAGTGAGTCAGGAGTGCGAGTGAGTGAGTAGTGAGTGAGTAGTGAGTGGTGAGTGGAGTGAGTGAGAGTGAGTGAGAGTGTGAGGGTAGTGCTGTGTGTGAGTGTGTGTGTGAGTGTGTGTGTGAGTGTGAGTGTGAGTGTGAGTGTGAGTGTGAGTGTGAGTGTGAGTGTGAGTGTGAGTGTGAGTGTGAGTGTGAGTGTGAGTGTGAGTGTGAGTGTGAGTGTGAGTGAGTGAGTGAGTGAGTGAGTGAGTGAGTGAGTGAGTGAGTGAGTGTGTGAGTGTGTGAGTGAGTGAGTGTGAGTGAGTGAGTGTGAGTGAGTGAGTGAGTGTGAGTGAGTGTGAGTGAGTCAGTGAGTGAGTGAGTGAGTGTGAGTGTGAGTGTGAGTGTGAGTGTGAGTGCGAGTGCGAGTGTGAGTGTGAGTGTGAGTGTGAGTGTGAGTGAGTGAGAGAGAGAGAGAGAACTAGCATTCGGAGTCGCACTGTTGGATTATTAGTGCGACATGTACTTATCGGCGTTCCATATCTCAGGCTGGGCTGCTGGGACACCGGCAAAGGCAGGGGTCAGCAAGGGGCAGCAAGGGGCTGCGGTGCTTCTTTCGTTCTTGTTTGTTTTATCGTGTTTTGTTGTTTTTTGTTGTGTTTTGTTCGTTTGGGCACTTGGGCACTAAGACACTACAGTACGAAGCTAACAGATTCCAAGACTACTAACCCCTGACGCAACCAGAGGACAACTAAAGCCAGCAATGCTGGGAATTCAGATTTGCAAGCACGCAATGGTGTTTGTACATTAAAACCAAACAAGATACACATAATTTCAAAGATGTGGCGTTCCCATGGAGATTTGGAGCACATGCAAACATACCAACTTTGCCTGGCCGGAGGGAGTGCAAGATCAGAGCTTTAAACTAACTTCCGGAGGGAGTCCTTCATCCCGCTACGATTGGCTTTTGGCTGATTTGGCTTTGGGGTTTGGGCAGATTTCGCGATGTTCAGTGGTGCCCCTGGTCTCCCTTTGCTTGGGTTCCGCTGCAAAACTGGGTTCCACCAATCAAAGGGTTCCCCCAAACAAAAGGGTTCCCTTCTAAAAAAGTGCCAACCACAAAATCTTGGGTACCGCAAAAAGGGTTCCCTGCCACCAGAGCCGCTGCGGGCATGCCTCCCGCCAATTTGTGCCAGGCTTGCAGCTGCGCACGTCGGCCGAGATGTGCCCGGCCTCGGCACGAAGGAGTTTGTTTTTAACGGCTGGAGGCAAGTGGTTGAAGCCGAGATGATGATGATGCTGGTGCGTCTGAATAATAGGGACATGTCCAGGTGCTTCACTTTCTGTTGTTGTTTTTTTCTTTGGGATCCGTGCGAAACATGAGAAGGGGAGTTCCCAGTTTGAGACAATCACAGGTGCATTGAGCCCACGTCGCACGATGTTGCACCAAGAGCCAATAACCGCGTGACAGCTGCGTCGTTTTGGACTTGGGAAAAAAGGCGAGGCTGATCTGGTGCAAATAAGAGATCAGCAAGGACTAACAGAAACACAAACAAGTAAATGTGCACTTGATCAAATTGAGGCACTCTAGCTGCCTCAAAAGGGTGGGGAAGTTACCAGGTTGAGAGAAACTTTCGACCACGTCTCCAGCTCGTCATATTTGAAGATCTGAAAGCTGAGGTTTCCAACCTGGACCGGGAAGACAAATTTGGAGGCTGCTAAAATCCGCCTGGAGCCCTGGAGCGAGGACATCGCTGGGTACGGGTGATTGGTGAAACCCCGAGTCCACTACCCGCAACAAGAACCTAAGCGATTAGGATGGGGCTGTGGGTTACTTAAATACCAACATTGTCAAGGTCATGTTTGTTTCTAATTGTTTGGCCCCGCATATAACTTGCCAGTTCTGAGCTGATTGGTGACATGAATCCTAAGATTGCCAGCTACTCACATAAGATTTAGCCAGTTGCTAGAATTCTATTGGTTGATCATGACCCCGCGGGGCGGAGGCCTGGGCAGTGTTCATCAGATAAGTTCCCCTTATCATGGGTGCTTTTTACACGGATGTCCTTTAAGGGGCCCTTTGCCACAGGGTATCGCACAGCTTCATCCTGACCACTAGGTGTAAAGGGCACCCTTCGCAAAGTGCTCTCTTCTCACCCGAGCGAAGTTTTGAGCCCACAAGCGGTTGTGGACCCGTTTGAAACGGAAGCGGTCTATCAATGACCGCTTGCAAGTGCTGAAGCGTCAAACAGCAGTATTGGCAGGACTGTTCACCGTCACGTCTGCAACATGCCGTGATCACGAGTTATACTATGAGCCTGCAGTCAGAACAAACATAATTGGACTGGTGACCAAGGTTTGACTTTCTGACTCCTGTAGAAATACACCCACCATGGCTTTGTGTGTGTGTGTGTGCGCGCAATGACTGGACGTCAGGGGAAATGGAGTTCAAAGTCGTCATCGCCCGCACCGGCAACGACGTGGCCACCGGCATGCTTGACGTGAAGATCCGCAAGCAAGTTAGATCACAAAGATTGCAACGAGAAGTCAACGATGACACTTCCAATATGGGTATGAATGCGCTTAAGTAGGTGGACTGCAACAATTATGTTTGTTCTTTTGGTTTCCCTTCAAACCAGGGGCACAAAAGGACCCCAAACACGCAAACTCATAGTATTAGGCTTTATGATGAGTTGGGCTCTTCTGGGCGGCAGTTCTTGCGACGCGCTTGCCAGGAATGGGAAGGCCTCCAGAACCGTCGCGTTTGTCGGATCCTGAGCTGGAGCGGAGATCCCCGCTCCGTACGGATGGAGCTTTTAAAGGGGCCACTGTTTTATTCAGAAGTCTCCTTCTTACAGACGCTTGAAGTTTCGGACGTTGAGGCTCTTTTTTTTGTCCGGATGATTCCCCTTCCATAAGTCTCCTTCATTTTTTCCCGGATGAACAAAAAAGTGTTTCCGGGGACAAACACAAAGGATTTTGGGCCAGAAATGGAAGGGCTTTTTGGGCGGGGAGTAGTGGAGAAAGGGAGCGAAAGGGAAACCGCCCATGTCGGCGTCCATGGGCCTCAACACCAAGCAGACTGAGGCGTACCGGCAGGTCCCGGCCAAGACAAACCCTGGGAGGTGCTTGCCTCAGGTCGCAAATGGCGGCAATTCGTGACCAAGAACCTATTGAACCAACATGGCTGTGGGTCAAAACCAATGGTACCATTTGGGGTAGGTACACCACCCATTTTAGTCTATTTTAGTGGGGATTGGGATATTCACTGGGGGTACGGAATTTTGACCCATGGCCACATGTTTTAGACCAACTCGAAACCCTCATTTTCTCAAGGGGGCGCGGATGACATGATGAGTGCATTGTGGGTTGTCAGAGTCAACCTTCGGAGTGAAATGTTTGCTTCTTCTTGGCTGCGGGCACATATGTTATGCTGAGGACAATTCGCACGGGAATACTCTTTCGGGCTAACGCCAGGCAGGTTAGGACCAGACCTGAGTTCATAGTTAGACTGTGCAGGGAAAACGCAAACATACTGCCTGACTTGGGCAAGCACATTCGAGGGAAAAGGAGAATGTTCAGAGGTATAGGATTCCTACTTACCCGTGACTCCACCAAGAAACCACCAAGTACAGCATGTTGCCAGTCACATACAGATAAAGATTTCGCGCGCCCGACAAGAGGGAAGTCGAGCAACAGAACACTTGAGGAAATCTTAGCGGATCCAGACCTCAACGCACAAGTAGCGTGGGACATTCATGAATTTGCGAAGGCTAGCATGTCACATATGCAACAAACACTGCGCACCGAGTCCTTTTGAGTCAGAGGATCATGGCCAGTCCTGGCACAGGTGTCCTTTTATTGTCATTTTGTTTAACATTTGATGGATTCTACTCGTTTCAGTTCTGTTGTACCCATTTGCCACTGCCATCTATGTTTTCAAAAACGCACCTACCGTATCATACAACTGCCTCAATCACGTCTCCAGTCTGTGCCCGTTTTAGTCTTCCCTCGCGGGGTGTGTTTGGGGGGGTGGTTCGTTGGGGTATCCCCCAAGGGTGAACCTAGTTCCTAGATCTTTACACGCATGTTTCGCCCACTGCATGCTGAGGTATCCTTGGAATGGAACCGTCAAGGATGTGCTGTGTCGCCGTTCAGGCGCAATGAATCTCCGTCTGGCATGTTGAAACGAGCAAGTCAAATGGGCAGTGGCCAAAACCCCCATACGCCCTTGTTGCCTGGTTTCACTTTGGAGGGAATGGAGAGGCCTATAAAAAACCTTTCTGGGCATGCTGGTAAGACTAAAAGTCAATGAGTTTTGGGAGCTGTTACAAAAATGTATTTTTGGGAGAAGTGTAGGCACGAGATGCCGCCACTGAACATAAAAATCATACCTGCAATGTTATTTGAGAAATCACTTGAAGCCCCATGGCTTCTGGCTTTTCCAACCGAAAGTCTTGGTGAGAGTCTGAATGCGACAGGACCACCGCCTCCAATTTCGAGACAAGCTGGCAGCCGAGTGTCAGCTTGCGGGGGCAGTGGTTTGGCCAGCGTTATATGTTGAATTTGGGTTTGACGTTTGTCAAACGCTTACGAATCTATACATGAACCCCGACCCGAACCCGTGCTTTATGGAGT